GTAATATTAGAATATAAATCTATAATTCTCAAGCCTTATCATAACTTCATAGTTTTGATATAATGGTTAGAGGGACATTCACAATAATATAACAAAATCTACGTTATATACCAATATCATACAATTTATGAAGAATATAGACGTTGTTAGGTCGTTAGTCCTTTCTCTGTATGTATATGTTTAGCTTTTACCTATAGGTACTTTTTCTTTTTAAGAACTTCATAAGTACTAATATGATACTCAAAACAACCTACCAAACCTGAACTGCAATAGAAAGACCTGGACTAAGCTGAGATTTTCGGCAGATTTACCATTGATAACATTTGCAGTTGACATAAAAATTAATTGATTGTATTTAAATCTTTTAGTACATCTCTTGTTATTAGCATACGCCTACAGACTGCATGGTTACGTGTTATGATGTTATGAACCTCCACTGGAAACCGACAAGAATGTCTATCCAGAATGAGCGAATGGTTAACTTCCTATGTTGAACAGGCTGACTATGATGCTAAAACTAATATTGAGAAGCTGAGATAGATATGAGTATTAGAAAGTCCATATATCCGATTATAATGCGACTAGCGACCATATTGATTTGAGTCAAAATATTGGTATAGCAGCTAGAAGTTTACGGTCAAAATAATCTACCAAACCTGAAACCGCAATAGGAAGATCAAGACTAGGACTAAGGTGAGAATTTTGGCAAGTTATATCCGTACAATGTTTGAACTTGGCATAGAAATTGGTTGCTGTTGTATTTACCTCTCTTTTGTTTCATCTCGTTATTAGCATATGCCTACAGGCTGCATTACATGTTTTGATGTTGTGGTCTTTGACTGAAAACCAATAAGTACATGAACTCTATCCAGAATAAGTGAATGGTTGACTTCCTATGTCTAACACGCTGTCTCTATGATGCTAACATTAACATAAAGATGCTGATCTGGAATCCACATGAGCATTGGAAAGTTAATATACCAGAATTACGATGCTCTGACAACATTGATTTGAGCAAAATATTTATATAGAAGTAGAAGTTCATAGTAACATTCTATTTTGAAATTTATATTTATTTAAATTTTCTTTCATTTCCACTCAGTGGTTTATGGAAATCTGATCATTTGCTATTTCAAACTGTTATTTTTTATTTTCTCTTTAAGTTTTTTTCATTTGTTGCACTTTGGATCAGAAAAAAGATATGCTGTCTTCTTACAACTGAAAGTGGCAACATGTAAAATATGTTGGATTCCTTGGTTACATTTTCTCTCAAGTTCTTTAACCAGTGTCCATTTGCCTCTTACTCTCATTAACTTTTTAATTTGCAGGAAAGTACTATTATCCTTGCCAAAATATTACTCCCTCGAAAATTTGAAGAAATGTCAATGCATGACCTTAGAGCACTTGTTTCTGAAAGATCAACAATGCATGTTTACCTAAGGGGCGAAGTTGTGGAAATAAAGCCGAATTCTATTGGTTTTTTATTGGAGGGATTTATAAAAGCACAAGATCCTCATCCAGAATTGATCACCCCTCCTGCAGCATTGTTGCCATCACATGTAGATACAAGCGTTTCTTATATAGAATCTTCAGGTTATAAGAACTTTAAATCTTAACTCAGTAATAGTTTTATATTGTGACATATCATATCATTTTATATTATAGAAAATATCAAAAAGAAGTTATGAGCATAGACCCCTAAAGTTATTGATTGTATTACTGTTAATTAAATTTAAGGAAGATATAAAATTGATAGAATTTGAGTTGCCATTTGAGAAACTCATTTAGGTAAATGTGAATACGTCAGTGACATAATGATGTTATCATCCCAGTTTTAAAGTAGACCAGCATGAAGATAGAAAATATTTAACTGTAATCCTAATTGTGATCTTTCTGGATGGTTGTTAGATTTATATTTGGTTGATACTTTGAATTTTTTGTATTTTTTTGGTAGTTTTTAACGTTTAGATGCTGTTAGAAGAAGAGAGTATTAGTTTAGTCCCACATTGCTTGTGAGACTAACTTGTAACTAATCCATTTCTATAAATAAAGTATAGAGTGAGGGGATAACTCTCCAATAATCTCTTTTTTCTCCAAACTTTAACATTATTCTAACCCTAACCCTAATTCCTAAACCTTAGCCGCCGCCTCTCTTCTCTCTCGAAACCCTAGCCGCCTCCTCTCCTCTCTCTCGAAACCCTAGCCGTCAAAAATTAAATCTGTTGCTGCTTGCTTCGTCCGCCACCGCCGCCACTTGCCTTGTTCGTTGCCTTGTTCGTTGCCACTTGCTTCCTTGACAAATTGAATATCTTACCTTGCTCGGTGTTTCCTCGAGTTCAAACTTGGATTTGATCTTAAGAAGAGTGTTTATTTTACCTTGCTAAGATATTCACTTCAGTTCTTGTTTCCACAATCGAAACATCAATGTCAAACCTCCTTCATGTCCGACTCGGATTGTTGAATCGGTGGTCCACGGAGAAAACTCCAGATCCAGATCCACTTCACCGATCCGATCTTCTTCGACAACTCCTGCCCGTCGTCAATGATTGCTGCTGCCATGTCCCTTTGTTTTCGGATCTGACTTAGATCTATGAATTGTTCTAAAAAAATCGGGTTCTTGAACTTTAACCTTCGGGTTTCATGTTAACCTTCAGATTCTTGCATTTTAACCTTCGGGTTCTTGCATTGTTAACATTCGGGTTTTGGACTTATTCAACTTGTGTAGGGTATCGTCTTGATCTTTACTCGTCTGTTTCATGATGACCAGATCTGAGGAACTCAAGAATTCTGAGTTAACGGTCCAGACGAAAGTTTCAGAGATATTTTCTGGTAGAATCACTGACCGGAAATTTAATGAAATTAACTATTTTCAGTGGAATCGTGTTATTAAAATCTATGTGGTAGGCCGAGGCAAAACTGGCCATTTGTTGACGGACCCTTCTAACCCGACACCAGAGTCTTGGACATTAGATGATAGTGTCCTTTTACATCAGATTCTTAATACTATGGAGTCTAAAATTCAGGATTTCATCCTTTATTGTATGACAATGAATAAACTTTAGTATTTTTTACAAGATCTCTATGATGGTAGTAGTAATATTAATTGAGCATATGAAGTTATTCAAGAGCTGTTTCGTAAGAAACAGGATGGTAAACCCATGGATGATCATTATGACGAGTTTAATCGTTTGGCTGAGGAACTTCGTCAAAATTTTCCTATTACTGAGGATGTAAAACAGATGCAAAACTAATGGAACAAACTTATGGTATTTATCTACTTAGATACCCTAGATTCCATTTACTCCTCTGCTCGACCACAAATCATGGGGAGTTCCGTCATTGGTTTTCTGGTCGAGGCTTATCACTTTTTAAAGAACGTTATCCCTGCACAGCTATTTACATCCACTGCGGATCGCTCTGAGCTTGCCACTCTGAATTAGCAGTCTTATAGACGAGGGGGTTATACTGGTGGTCCTGAAAGAGGTAGATGTAACTTTGAAGGGAGAGGAGGTTACCACACTGATCGTTCTGGGGGCCGAGGTAGTCAACGAGGTGGCCGTGAAGATCCATCTCAAGGCAGACATACTAATAACGATGACTCAGTGAAGACTTGTAACTACTGTCACCAATCAGGACATCTCAAATATAATTATCCTGAATTAGAAAAAAAGAAGGTCAATGGTGCTTACATGGTCGCTCAAGATAACTTCACCTCATTTGATAATGAAAGTCAACTACAGTCAGTCTTTCAGGATGCGGAACTGCAGCGTCAATTTCAGCAATTTCATTACCAAAGTTCACAATCATCATCCTCCTCTTTATCCACTACTCTCAAAAGTGCATGTACCTCTTTATCTTTACTTATATCGTCTTCGTTTCATACTTGAATTATAGATACATATGCCACTGATCATATGACTGGGAATTAATGTATCCTGTCCTCTTTCTCTCCTACATCTAATTCAGTTATATTAGTTGATGGTTCACGTACATCTGTTCAGGGTGTCGGTAACACCAATCCTACACCTAGTCTCCCCCTTTCCTTCGTATTCTATCTTTCTAATTTTCCCTATAACCTTTTATCTGTTAGTAAGATTACTAAATTACTAAACTGTATTGTAACATTGTTCCCCACACATTGTGTCTTTCAGGATCTAGTCATGAGAAAAACGATTGGGACAGGGCATGAGCAGAACGGTCATTATAAACTGGACTTGGGTGCCAAATATTTAGCTTGTATCGGAAACTCATCAGCTCTACAATACCATTGCCAGCTAGGGCATCCCTCTCTCTCTGTTCTCAAGCTTCTAAATCCCTAGTTCAAATCTCTTTTCTCTTTAGAGTGTGAGTCGTGTCAACTTGGCAAACACCATCGTGTATTTTATCCTAATCTAGTCAATAAGAGGGCTGCAAAGCCATTTGATCTTGTTCATTCTGATGTCTGGGGCCATGCCCAATAACTTCTAAATTGGGATTCCGGTATTTTGTCAGTTTTGTGGATGATCACTCTCGTGTTACTTGGATTATCTTCTCAAGTCTAGGTCTGAAGTCTTTTCTATATTTAAATTCTTTTATTCTGAAATAGTCGATCAATTCAAGACTTCGATAAAATTTTTTCGATCTGATAATGTAAAAAAATATTTGGATGATAACTTTACTAGTTTTCTTAAACATGGAATTCTCCATTAGTTTTTTTGTGTTTACACTCCTCAACAAAATAGAGTTGCTGAACGAAAGAATAGACATCTCATTGATATTGCTAGAACCTTGCTATTTCATCATCACGTTCCCAAAGAGTTTTGGAGGGAAGCTATCCTAACAGCATGTTACTTGATTGATCGAATGCCCTCTTCTGTTCTGCAAGATAGAATTCCTTTTAAAGTTCTATACCCTAACGATGATCTCTTTTTGGCTCTCTGTGCTTTGTTTATAATCACAGTCCAAACAAACAAAAGTTTGACTCTCGGTCTATTAAAGGTATTTTTCTTGGCTACTCTCGAGAACATGAATGTTACAAGTGTTTCTGTCTATCACTCAATCGTCTTGTGTTATCTATTGATGTAACATTCTTTGAAGATAAACCTGATTATTTTAGTTCTCCAACTCCATTATCATCGGATGAGTATAACTATTTAATTCTACAAGAGTTATTGGTTAACGGTGGTGATTCATCCACTGACAATACTATTTGCGCTACTGACAAAGATTCCGCTCGATTTAACCACCCAATTCAAGTTTATCATCGTCGTTCTGCTCCTGCTCCTAAGCTAACGCCGGCCTCAACACCACGTCCTCCGCCAGAAGAACCAGAATCAATAAGTGCAAATTTACCCCCTTCTGCGGAAGACCTTCCTATTGCACTTCGAAAAGGGACACGAACTTATACTCAATATCCTATTTCTAACTTTGTCTCTTATGATCGCCTCTCCACCACCTTTCGATGTTTTGTTACTTTCCTCAACTCATATTTGGTTCCCTAGAATGTGTCAGAAGCTTTGTCTATTCCAAGTTGGAACCAAGGGATGCAAGACGAAATAAGGGTCTTGCGACAAAATAAGACTTGTGATTTGGTCCTACTTCCACTAGGAAAGCGGCTCGTCGGCTGTAAGTGGGTGTACACTGTCAAATTGAATCCTGATGGAACTTTGACACGCCTGAAAGCCCGATTGGTTACTAAAGGTTATTCCTAGGTGTATGCCTTAGATTACTTAGATACCTTCTCTCTAGTGGCAAAAATATCATCTGATCGGATTTTTATCTCATTAGCAACGACAAATCACTGGCCACTTCATCAGTTAGACATGAAGAATGCATTTCTTTATGGTATTCTAGATGAGGAGGTTTACATGGAGCATCAGGTTTTGTTGCTCAGGGGGAGAATACGAAGGTGTGTAGGCTGAATAAATCACTTTATGGTCTGAAGCAATCTCCGAGAGCCTGGTTTGGACGTTTTACATCAGTTATTCAGGAATTTAGGCTCTATCGTGCATAGAAAGATCACTCTGTCTTCTGACGATTTCAGAATGGGAAACAAATTCTGCTTGTTGTCTATGTGGAATACATTATAATTATAGAGAATGATGCTTTTGGTATTGACAGCCTGAAGAAACATTCACAGACATATTTTCAAACCAAAGATCTTGGTTCAGTAAAATACTTCCTAGGCATTGAAGTCACAAAGTCAACGAATGATATTCTTCTGTTACAAAAAAAGTATGTCCTGGATATGCTTTCAGAAACTGGGATGTTAGGATGCTGAAGCAGTGATTCTCCAATGGATGTGAACTCAAAACTACTACCAGATCAGGAGGAGCTTCTTGAAGATATTGGACAATATAGAAGATTGGTGGGGAAACTGAATTATCTGACAGTGATTAGACTGACATCACATTTGCAATCAGTGTTGTGAGTCAGTTCTTGTCCGCACCAAGAACTACTCACTTGGATACAGTAATGAGAATTTTGAGGTACTTGAAGAAGGCTCCAGTACGAGGAATTCTCTACTCAGATCAAGGACACACTAGAGTTGCAAACTTTTCTGATGCAGATCGGGCAAGATGTTCTTTTGATAGGAGATCAACTACTGGATATTGTGTCTTTCTTGGAGGAAATCTAGTGTCATGGAAAAGAAAGAAGCAAAGCGTTGTATCTCGATCCAGTGCAGAATCAGAATACAGAGCTATGACAAATATGACATTATAGATAGTTTGGATCAGAGACCTATTGACAGAAATTGGTCTCCCTCAAGAATGTCCTATGGATCTATATGGCGACAATAAAACAACAATTCACATTGCTGAGAATCCTGTGTTTCATGAAAGAATCAAGCACATTGAAGTCGACTGTCATGTAGTCCGCAAGAAACTTGAAGATAAAATCATCACGATAAAACATGTATCTATAGTAGATCAGTTGGCAGACATTCTTACAAAACCACTTGGTCGAACACGGGTTGACTTTATTTGTGACAAGTTGGGCATGCATGATATATATGCTCCAGCTTGAGGGGGAGTGTTAGAAGAAGAGAGTATTAGTTTAGTCCCACATTGCTTGTGAGACTAACTTGTAACTAATTCATCTCTATAATTAAAGTATAGAGTGAGGGGATAACTCTCCAGTAATCTCTTTTTTCTCCAAACTTTAACAAATGCTATTCTTATGTTTTAGGGAAGACGGAATTATGTTAGAGATTTGACTTGATTAGTCTTATTAAGTAGTTGATGTTTTGAGTTATTAGACTTCATATAGTAGTTGGTTAGTTGAAATTGAAGTCTCTTAAATTCTTTTGATGTAATTACAACTGGAAATTATGTTATATTGATTGATAGTTAATGAATTATTTAATTGAGGGTGTGATTCATTCTATTTTTCTGATAGTGTGATTCTCTATCTCATCTCTGTGGGTTTCCCTTCTGTTTGTTCTGAAGGGTGTTGTCTATGTAAATAGTGGAGTTGTGATCCTCTATTTTTCTGTTCTCGTTTTTTTTAATTTTCAAAATTTTCTATTCTCTCTCTTGCATAGACATGTTGGGTAAGGTATGCTTCAAAAACAAGTAAATGAATAGTATTATTGAGTATCAAACCTTGCTCAATTGACTTCTCTTCTTTTTTTATTGCTCTTGCTCCTGCTGCTGTTATTAATTTGGGGCATATATAAGCTATCTGTGTATCATCTAAGTCAATTATATGGATCATCAGCTCTAGAGGACCTCCAAACATTTACTTTAGCATTTAAAATCCTGTAGAAGTGATTTCTATAGTAAACTTCCTCTGCGATATGCTGTACTGTTTGTACTAATGTAGATCAGAAGAACGATATAGAATACTGAAAATTAGTTAATTACCAGTGTATTCTCAGTGTATTGACGGTGATTCTAATTAATGGTTCATCTTATTCTGTTATAGGCTCTAAGACTGCGAGCTTCTGTCACTCTGGATATTCATACCAGGTCGAAACAAGAGCCAGAGTCATCATTTTTGACATTGGTCCAACTGGAAATGATGCACAACTCTCGAAGAGGTCTATACCTCGGCTCTCATCAGCCATGGAGCCTGCAAGAAGCCACTTCAGGGAACATGAAGGTCTAGTAAGCTGGCCAGAGAGTTTCTTTAAATTAACTCAGCATCAGAATGACACTGGAGCTGATAAACAACCATTGTCGGCTAAAGCTGCGGAACTGAGCATCTACGGAAGCATGGTTAGTTCAACCAACACTCAAAATTATCACCTTGGCATTTTCTAATGTTGAAGAATCTGCTTAGTATGTAAAGAACTTCTAAAAGCACAGTCATACTGAATTTTTCTGTCCATAATTGACTGTAAGTATGTTTTCTCAATCATGAAGTGATGATTTCTGACTCTGCCCATGAATCTCACCCAGCTACCTTCAAAATGTTGGTGTATGTGAGAGTTCCCCCTCACATGTAGATGTAGTGCATGGGCTAAGTACTAGAGACCCGGAATTAGCAGGTTTGGGATGGATAAAAGTCATTGCAATCTTTGATAACACTAGCTATAGCCTAATACGCCATGCGTAATATATTAGGGTGCTTGTGCATGATGTTATGCACTAGTTTACATTACATCATAGTATAAGGGTTCTAACCTGATTTTATTCGGACTGATGAGTCTGAAACTGTTTTAATTAGTTTGCTGCCAAGATATACAAGAGTGCAGTGTCAGTGTGGTATTTTTGTTTCAAATTTAAGAGTTGTCTTGACACATGAAGGAATTTTCCAAGAGTCCCATCCCCCATGAGAAGGAAAAAGGAAGAAATGAGACGGATACATCCAGGAAAAAGAGATGATATTGAGGAAAAAACCAGCAGTGAATAGAATCCTGGATTCTTAGTGGTGAAATGATAATCCTACTCAGACTCAAGCTAGTGAGCAAGGGATGGTAGTAAATCTAAATTATGAAAAATAGTAAGAGATTTGAATTCCAAGATCAGTAGGCTGTGTTCAGTAGCTCACGATTGCAATAGTGTCTGTATCAACAGAGTTTAGTATGTTTTACGGAAAACTTACATAGGCCTCTTCTCATTGTTGCTCCCTGAACCAGTAATTCTGGAATCTTCAGTCACCTTTTCCTTAAGCTCTTATATTGAGTTCTTTGCTTGAATACAATGTACTAATGTTGAGAGTTGCTTTAATCAACATGTCAAATTAACAATAATCACAGTTGGAATCTTGTATCACTGGATTTAATTTTAGCTTAGAACTCATAGAATTGACACCTGAGCTCTCTCTATCACACAGTAAACTTCCTACTTAAACCATTAAATTTCAACAGGCACTGCACAACCTCTAAGAGTTGATTTATTTTTCCTTTATCCAGCTTAGATCTCTACTACATCTGGCTAATCAAATTATTCAGATTAGGAGTTGATGGTAGAATCAAATTATACCAGCATTAGAACCTATGGCTATGGACTTTTTTTTACTGTTATTATAGTGTATTGTTTAATCTTGTTGCTTAACACAAGCTATTTTGGATATTGAACAGATGAATGGTGTAAGGAGACAATACAAAAGCTTTCGAAGCTTCAGAAGTTTCAAAATGCCTAATGAAGGTGAAAATTCTCATAGTATGTCATTCCCTAGAGTCCAACCTCCAGACTCTCGACCTCTTCTCTCAGTTCAATCAGAGGGTAGTGTTAACAGAAAGCTCGGTTCAAAGGAGTATGCAAAACTCCCGTCATTCCTTCCATTGCCTTCTCGAAGAAAGAAAGTCAAGATTGGTGAAGGCAACTCGAGTGATGAATCAGGCGGTGAAGAAGTTATTGTTAGGATTGATTCCCCTAGCACTCTTTCTTTCAGTCAAGATGGATCACAAAACTTTTGAGAAAACGTTTTTCACATTTAATTTAAGGAGAATGTATGTGTTGTTTATATAATAATGATGTTTATGTTATGTTTAGTACAAAATAAAAGAGCCCATAGTCGAAATTATGTATTGTGATTAGCATATGGTTGCCTAGTTAAAACGAGTGAACATTGTAAAGACATTTTCGTAGAGAGATTCAAATTCCAGGTGATTCGTTATATTGTGAAGTTCCTGTCTCATTCTTGTAAATTTTGTTTGCAGTTAAGCGATTTTGGACACATCAGTTTCCAGGAGATGTGCATAGATCTTATCTCTGTAATAAGTGTAGAATTGAAACCACTATTATTTTGGCTGGAAAGAAAATTTATCCTTGTATATCGAAATCTCTGGCACGTTACAGTTCTTGTAATATGTAGTGGGATGTGTACTATTGAAGCGCTCTCTCTCTCTCTCTCTCTCTCTCTCTCTCTCTCTCTCTCTCTCTGTTTTTTTCTTTCTTTTGTTCTTGTTCTTTTTTTGGCCATCTTTGTTTCTTTATAATTTCACTTTGATTTGGCAATGGAAAAGATACGATTTAGAGCAAACCTTTTCAGAAGATGAATTATAATAAATTAGTAATTTCTGGTCAAATGAAAAACGAAATGTTTAATTAAGATAATTAGCCCTATGAACATGAATTTACCAAGAGATAATTAGCCTATGAACAGAAACTAGTCTTGTATTATGATAGTAGAGATTTTTTTTGTCTATACTTTTATATGTATTTTCCTTTGCTAAATTTTTATGAAGTGAGTTGAGATATTCCTGTTCATAGTTCGTGTATAGTGAAACCTTTATATGCACCAAATCTTAGCTACGATAGAGACTTTTAGGGCTGTGTGTTGTTAAATAGTTTGGTTTTAGATATGATGATGCTTCCCCGGGAGGACTTTGTGGAAAAACCTATTTACCTTTTCCCCCCCCCATTTTCTTTCATTATCGATTTCTTTGGCTGGTGTGCAGATCAAATTTGGTCAATATGAACCAAGCTAATACTCAAAAATTTTTCTTCCTGTATTGCTTCCAGCTTGTGTTATTTGTGTGAGTAAAGTGGAAGATCTCCATCCCTCTTGAAAGTGACCTTAACTTATTCCGTTCTGTATTGATATATTGTAAGCAAGAAAGTTCTGTAGTTGGCCCCGTCTAGCGTTTTTTTTTTGGTTTTTTTTTGGTAACTGAAATTTCTATTCATTTACCAACAGGAAAATTTTAAGCATGTACCCCTTTCAAACAAAACTGGATAAAGAGTAACAGACACTCCTCGCAATTTAAACATACTCTCAAGCTCTCATAAACTCTCTATCCATGCTCTAATCTGAGGGGGTAATGCCAAATTCAATTATTCAAGCATCTAGTGAGCACTTCCACTTTGATTTGTTTCATAGTAGCATTAACATTCCTCCTTTTGTTTTGAAACCTCCTATAGTTGCGCTCACTCCATTGGTGATAAATTGTAGCCGTCAAAAGAAGCTCGCAAAAACTTCTTCTTCATTGCTCTCCCTTTCAGTTGCTCACAAAACCAATTAACCTCATCTTACCATAACATGGGATCTGTTGGGGAATTTCGGTCTCCATGCCTACTACAATATGCGCAACTCGAAAGCCAACCCACAATCAACAAGATAGAAAATAACCACAATCAAGAAGAAAGAACATCGAGATTTACATGCTTCGGTCGACCAACTTCGATCTACGTTCACGGGCAACAATATGAGAAATCCACTATGTATCAAGGAGAACTACAAGAGGATTCACTCAACTCTCTCTCAATCTCTCAACGTCACATATATAATTAGCTCTCATATTATCTCCAAAGCCCTCTGCTTATAATCTTTTGAGCGGACAAAGACTGCGAAACCCTCTCCTAATGATGTAATCTTTTGCACGGACAAAGACTACAAAACCCTCACCTCTCGCACAATATTCTTGAATCAGGCTACGCCCTCTGCTAACCCTAGATTATAAGAATATTGGCTCTCTCTCATCTGCTTGGTTTTTCCTCTAACAATAGAAGAATATATATATGGAAATCAAAATCCTATCTCTAGCCTAACTTCCTAATTAGAATAGGATTTAAACTCCTAATCATGTTGAGACCTAATCTCCTAATCATGATAGATCTTTAACCCTATCTAATTCTCATGAAGTTCTACAAAGAATCAAAAACACAATCCCAACAATCTTCACCTTGGATTTGATTCCCAAGCCACCTCGAAGATCTATCATTGCCGTCTTGAAACTTTGCCTCTCCTGCTAGAGTCTTCTATTTCTTTCGCACTTCAAATTGAAGCACCTGCACTCCAACTGGAACATCCCGTGACCCTCGCTATCATCTGCTTCGTCGTGGCGCCTCCACCTCCTTTGTGTGCACCAAGAGATCCGCCACTTCTAACATCAGAAGAAAATCAACCATGCTTCTCCTCCCGAACTGAACTTGATAGTAGCCTTCTCCCACTTACTGTCCTCGTACTCCACCTGCATCGCTCGTCTCGAATCATATCGGTGCACCTTTCCTACTCCACACTACGAGCCGGATGCCTCTATCTCCTCTATCACTTTCCTTGGACTGAATATGAGCGCTCATCATCTTCAAGTCCAATGCCACCATCTCCATTAGCATGTGTGTCACTCAATCATGCTTTCTTGTAAGCTCCACCTAATCTGGCACTGTCCTCCTCGAGTCTACACACCAACCAACTACTGCTCCCGCGATGACTCTGAATAATTATATGCCGATAACTCTACTGTTAAAATCATATCTGATTCTCTATACCAGTCTCATCCGTCGCATTCTCATTTGTCCTATCTACCATGCTGCAAAATTTTTCTTGCCGTTGAATAGCGGAATATCAAACTTCGGATCCGAAGAAGTCATCATCCTTTAACCAGAATCAAAATTCAAATAGTCACTATAGAGATTGAATTTGATAAAATTAACGTCAAAAACGAACTCAGCACGTTGAAAAACCCTAGGAACGACTCCTGGATCACCAAAATCTACCTCCAAATCCTCGATCAAAAGACAAATCAATCTGCACCATCAGATTTGATTAAATAGTTTGTAAGCAAACCCTCACCCACGCCAACAGTGTTCCCGCTGCCGCTACAGTATTCCCTGCTACAGTATCTCTTTTCTTTTTCTTCATCTTGATTCTTGTAACACGGCTGATCTTCACTTTTGTATGACGTCTATCTTGCGAACTCGCTCCCGGATCCATCAATATGTCTCTGATACCACTTGTTGGGGAATTTCGGTCTCTCTGCCTACTACAATATGCGCAACTTGGAAGCCAACCCACAATCAACAAGATAAAAAAATAACCACAATCAAGAAGAAAGAACACCGAGATTTACGTGGTTCAGTCGACCAACTTCGACTTACGTCCACATGCAACAATACGAGAAATCCACTATGTATCAAGGAGAACTACAAGAGGAACCACTCAACTCTCGTCTCTCAATCTCTCAACCTCACATATATAATCAACTCTCATATTATCTCCAAAGCCCTCTGCTTACAATCTTTTGAACAGACAAAGACTGTGAAACTCTCTCCCAATGATGTAATCTTTTGCACGGACAAAGACTATGAAACCATCATCTCGCATAATATTCTTAAATCAGGCTACGCCCTCTGCTAACCCTAGATTACAAGAATATTAATCCTCTCTCCTCTGCTTGGTTTTTCTCCAACAATAGAAGAATATATATAGGGAAACCAAAATCCTATCTCTAGCCTAACTTCCTAATTAGAATATCATTCAAACTCCTAATCATGATGAGACTCAATCTTCTAAACATGATAAATCTCTAACCCTATCTAATTCTCATGAAGTTATACAAAGAATCAAAGACACAATCCCAAGAGGATCAAGCTCATAACCCAACCATACCAAGACCTTTTCCCAAACCATCGCCGCAATTGGACAATGAAAATACAAGTGATCAATCACCTCTTCAGCTTGATTACACAGGATACACTTACTGTCTTGAGCAATACGCAATGTGAGTGATCTACCAGCAACCTCTTCTATATAGCAAGCCACAGTACAAATTCATGCCTAGCCACAGATATATGACCCTACACTGTCTACACCCAATGTACATTAGGAGAATCATGGCAGAAAAGCATTTCATAAGCTTTGGTCATCAAAAACTTACCCTCAACTAACCAAACAGATCTTATTTACAGCAAAACTTCAATAGACACCCGTCTTTAATTATAGCAGTCAATCTGTAACCTGAATCAATTTGCGCCTAGCCCATGAGTCATGAGCTCTAGCCTACACCCTCCAGATAGTCTCATTCTTCAAACGATACCCACGAAGTCACTTAATCCAAAGAAAGTCCTGTTTCGAGTGAATTGACTATAAAATTTTCACCATAGCTATCTTATTCCAGTGCTCAGTAGGCACAAGGCCAAGTCCATCTCTATCTTTTCGCATACATATCTTATCCCGTGCTCGCATTCTCATTTGTCCTATCTACCATGCTGCAAAATTTTTCTTGCCGTTGAATAGCGGAATATCAAACTTCGGATCCGAAGAAGTCATCATCCTTTAACCAGAATCAAAATTCAAATAGTCACTATAGAGATTGAATTTGATAAAATTAACGTCAAAAACGAACTCAGCACGTTGAAAAACCCTAGGAACGACTCCTGGATCACCAAAATCTACCTCCAAATCCTCGATCAAAAGACAAATCAATCTGCACCATCAGATTTGATTAAATAGTTTGTAAGCAAACCCTCACCCACGCCAACAGTGTTCCCGCTGCCGCTACAGTATTCCCTGCTACAGTATCTCTTTTCTTTTTCTTCATCTTGATTCTTGTAACACGGCTGATCTTCACTTTTGTATGACGTCTATCTTGCGAACTCGCTCCCGGATCCATCAATATGTCTCTGATACCACTTGTTGGGGAATTTCGGTCTCTCTGCCTACTACAATATGCGCAACTTGGAAGCCAACCCACAATCAACAAGATAAAAAAATAACCACAATCAAGAAGAAAGAACACCGAGATTTACGTGGTTCAGTCGACCAACTTCGACTTACGTCCACATGCAACAATACGAGAAATCCACTATGTATCAAGGAGAACTACAAGAGGAACCACTCAACTCTCGTCTCTCAATCTCTCAACCTCACATATATAATCAACTCTCATATTATCTCCAAAGCCCTCTGCTTACAATCTTTTGAACAGACAAAGACTGTGAAACTCTCTCCCAATGATGTAATCTTTTGCACGGACAAAGACTATGAAACCATCATCTCGCATAATATTCTTAAATCAGGCTACGCCCTCTGCTAACCCTAGATTACAAGAATATTAATCC